ATGTAGAATTCTGAACTGAACAATAAGAGAATACATATTCTTCTCAGATACACTCAGAACAAATTACTGTCCTCAATTTATTCCTTCCTTCCTTCCGTCTATCCACTCATTCATCCATCTATCTACACAGAACATTTCCAAAAATTGATTATGTGTGAGCCCAGCAAGTCTCAACTACTTTCAAAGGATCAGTATCATACTGACCATACTACCTGACCACAACATAATTTAGAAATCAGGGATGAAAAGATAACGTAAAAATTCTCATGTTCCTGGAAATTAAAATACACACACACACACTTCACAGTTAGTCATGGGTAAATGAATCATAATGAAAATTAGAAAACTCTATGACTGAACTATAGTAAAAATACATCAAAAATTTGTGGAATGCAGCTAAGGTAGAAATTACAGGGGAACCTAATATATCTATATATTAGAAAATTAGGAAGACTGAAAATTAATGAGCTAATATCCAGCTTAAGAAAAAGAACAATAGAATAGGTCCTCCAATAGAGAGGAGAGGGAAAGAAACAATAGAATTAAGAGCAGAAATTAATACAATAGGGCTTCCCTGGTGGCACAGTGGTTGAGAGTCCGCCTGCCCATGCAGGGGACACAGGTTCGTGCCCCGGTCCGGAAAGATCCCACATGCCACGGAGCGGCTGGGCCCGTGAGCCATGGCCGCTGAGCCTGCGTGTCCGGAGCCTGTGCTCCGCAACGGGAGAGGCCACAACAGTGAGAGGCCCACGTACCGCAAAAAAAAAAAAAAAGAAATTATACTTCATGACAAAGTTTAGCTTAGAATTTAAAACATGAGTCAATATTAGATAATCAATGTAATTCACTACAGGAACATATGAAAGAGGGAAAGATTTATCTAAATAGATGCAGAAAATATACTTGCTGTGATTCAACACCCATTCATGGTAAAAATTATTGGCTACCTTGGAGCAAAGGAAATTTCCTTAACTCAACAAACAGTATCTATCCCTAACCTTAAGCCAACTTCACACTTAATGGAGAAACATAAGAATGATTCTTGTTAGAATCACAGGTGAGATAAAATTGCCAGGTCCTGCCCAGGGAAGTGAGGTGAGAAAAAGAAAGTATAAGGAGTGGACAGGGAGAAACAAAGATGTCATTTTTACAGATAACATGACTCTGTACTGTATATAGAACTGGAGAACAGAAATTATTAGAAACTTCAGCATGGTTTCTTAATATGAAACCAACATATAAATGGAACACAGTATTACCTATGTTTACATTCATCAGCAACAGTGAGGAGAAAAGATTATATTAAAAAAGAGCTAAACCTTACCCAAATAGAGTATTACTGAGGGTAAAGCCAACTGCCCTAATGAACTTTAAATTGTCAGTGACATAACTCAATAGAAGTTTCTGTCTTGTTCGTGTATTAGTTCAAAGCGGTGGTTGGTGATTCAAAGACTTAGGCTCCTCTCCTTCTGCCTTGTGGGTCCACCCTCCCACAGCATCTCGAAGTCCCCTCCATCCAGCTGGCAGCCAGGGGAGGGGACAGTGGGAGGACACATTCACTTTTCTGATCACATCCCACCAGGAACACCAGTCTCATGGCCTCACTTGGATACCAGGAGGGCTGAGATACTGAGCCTCTGGTTGTGCCGCTGCCTCCAGCAGAAACTTCACATGAAGGAAGGGGGTTACAGACTTGTGCAGGGCAACTATCCATTGTCTGTCACAGATTAAAAACTAAGGTACCTAGAAATAAACCTAACCAAAGTTGTGCAAGACTTTTAGTTTTAAAAAATGTTATTGAAAGGCACAAAGAGGATACAAGTGGAGAGAAACACCATGTTCATAGGTGCAAGAAGCCAATATCCTAACAGTGTTAATTATCTCTGAATTAATCTATGTTTTCAATACAATCGTAATAAAAATCCACCCCCAATTTTTTTTGTGGAACCTGATAACCAATTGTAGACTCTAACTGAATGAACAAAAGACCCAACATCGCAAAGGTACTTGGAAGAGGAAGGAGTGAATTCTTCTGGCCAGATATCAAGACATAAAGTTATAGTAATTACAGCAGCGTGGTATTAGCACATGGGTAGTCTCATAGTCAGGTGGGAACTTAAGATATTTCAGAAGTGTCATTACAAATACATGGCAAAAGGATGAAAACACTTGGTTATCTGGATGGAAAAAAATAATATTTTTTGCTACACCAAATATTTCTGCTACACCAAAAGATAATTTCCAGATGGATTAAAGATCTGAATGTGAAAAGCAGAAATTAAAAAGAGGGTTGTAAATTTATATCAAATTAAACAAGACACAGCACAAACTTTAGAGAAAAGTCGAGAATTTTGACTACATTAAAATCAAACATTTCTGTTGCTCAAAAACACCAAAACCAAAGCAAATATGTTACATGTCAGAAGAGGATAACTACCACCCATAAAACTAAGAAAGAATATCCAGAATATATAAAGAATGTCCACAAAGCAATAAGAAAAACATAACAGCCCCCGCAGTCAGCAAAAGAGGAAACCCAAATTGTCATAAGCATATTTACAATAGCCTGGAGATGGAAACAACCTAAGTGCCCATCATCGGATGAAGATGATGTGGCACATATATACAATGGAATATTACTCAGCCATAAAAAGAAACGAAATTGAGCTATTTGTAATGAGGTGGATAGACCTAGAGTCTGTCATACAGAGTGAAGTAAGTCAGAAAGAGAAAGACAAATACCGTATGCTAACACATATATATGGAATTTAAGAAAAAAAAAATATCATGAAGAACCTAGGGGTAAGACAGGAATAAAGACACAGACCTACTGGAGAACGGACTTGAGGATATGGGGAGGGGGAAGGGTGAGCTGTGACAGGGCGAGAGAGAGGCATGGACATACATACACTACTAAACGTAAGGTAGATAGCTACTGGGAAGCAGCCGCATAGCACAGGGGTATCAGCTCGGTGCTTTGTGACCGCCTGGAGGGGTGGGATAGGGAGGGTGGGAGACACAAGAGGGAAGAGATATGGGAACATATGTATATGTATAACTGATTCACTTTGTTATAAAGCAGAAACTAACACACCATTGTAAAGCAATTATACCCCAATAAAGATGTTTAAAAAAAATACACAGCCTCTATGTGTTTAGACAAAGGCAAATTAGAACCAGGAGACATTCTTTTGCATCATCAGATTAGCAAAATTTTAAAATTCTGCCAATACCAAGCATGGGAGAGTATGTGAAGGAAAGACAACTCAAAACACCAATGGTGGAGGTGTAAAACGATTCAAACTTTTTAGAGAGCAATGAGGCACTATTTTATAAAACTAAAGCAGCAAATATGTCCTGACCCAGCAACTCTGTTTCTCAGAGTAGATCCCAAAGAAACTTTGCATGTGGACACAGGAGACATGAACAAGAACATTCCCAGCAGCAGTATAGCAAAAACCTAGAAGCAGCCTAAATGCTCATCACCAGGAGAATGGATAAACTAACCGTCATGGTTAGTCTACAGCAGTGAAAATGAATGACTATGCCACTCTAACATGGACGAGGCTTAAAACCACAATGTTGAGTGAAAGGAGCAAATGACAGAGGATTAATATAGAATTTAAAATACGAAAGTTTTACTTTTTTAATAGCTGTACCCGTCCCCAGTTAGGTTACAAATAGGGTCAGCACACTTTTTCTGCAAAAGGCAGATAGAAATATTTTAAGTGGTGCAGACCACATACAGTCTCTCTTCTTCCCCTCTCCCCTTCTCCCCCCAACCCTTTGTGGAAAGGTCGGGGGAGGAATAAATTGGGAGATTGGGATTGGCATATACCCACTACTATATACAAAATAGATAACTAATAAGGACCTGCTGTATAGCGCAGGGAACTCTACTCAATACTCTGTAATGACCTATATGGGATAAGAATCTAAAAAAGAGTGGATATACGTATATATATAACTGATTCACTTTGCTGTGCAGCAGAAACTAACACAACATTGTAAATCAACTATATCCCAATAAAAAATTTTTTTAAAAAGCAAATCAAAAGAAAAATCAAACCCATCCTTAGCCTGAGGGCTGTGGTTTGCAGACCCCTAGGCTACATCAACCCCCCTTTCCCGTTGGGTAGCTGGTGTCTCTCAGTGATAACTTGGCCAGATGTCATTTCTTCCTGGCATCTTTGATGACCGAGCAGTCTCATCTCAGTATTTTAGACTCAAATGGATTTATTTTAAAACTCCAAATCAGGCTTAACTGAGAATTCAACGCCCCACCGCTGTGCAGGGGGACGGTGTCTGCAGCCTAGCTGGTTGGAAAAATAGGGAAGGGTCTGCTCGTCACACACTCTGCCTTTTGTTCTCTCTTTGAACTCCATCTCTGCATCCCCTTCAGGCTCTAAACCCCCCAAGACTTACTCTCTGGCCCTCCTGGATGGAGCTCCCTGGGAGGGCAAGGAAATTCTGGATACATGACTGGCCCATCCTCCTAGGTTGGGAGGGGCTGTCCATGGCTTCATCTGGGTTCTGGGTGCTTCTGGCCAATGCTGGTGGTGCTGATGAGGTGATGGTCTCTGCGGAGATGGTGCTCAAGGCTTTCTGGGGCTCCCGGCCGGCACCCACAGTGCCATATGTAGCTAGGCCCCAAAACCCTCCTGAGGGCAGTGGTGTCTACCTCCAGCCCTGCCAACAATGCACACTCACAAACCCGGCTCTGCCTCGGGCCTCCATCACTCCCAGTTGCCTCCATTGCTCCTGCCCTCTGCTAACCCCAGTGCTCTGGGGTCTGTGTAGATCCCGGGGTCCTTCTGGACTCTCTGGGGGCAAGAGAATCGGTGTGGGGTAGGCCACCCCATCTTCCTCTCAGACACCCTCAGCCTCTGTCACCTGGAGCCCTCCTGGCAAGGCCTCTGCCTTTGGAAACTTCTAGAGCAGAGGCAGGCACTGCTCTCGGGGTTCAGAGGAACCTGGCAGGCACCCTCTTCTTCCCTGCATCAGACACTTGTTCCCAGGCTGCCCCCGAGCTGGCTTCGGGTCTGCGGCTCAGTGAATATCTGTCCAGCCTGGGACCAGGCCACCAGCCTCCCTTTGCTGCAGACACTCCGGTATCCCGGAGTCCCGGACGCTCCCTCCTCAGGATACAGGGGAGGAGCCTTTCGGCATGAGCTCCGACCTCCGTGCACCCTGCCTTCCCTCCCCGAGGCCTCCGGCACCTTCTGGCACCGCCAGCGGGTAGGATGGGCAGAACTCCAGGTGTTTGGTGGAAGGCAGTCTCTTCTTGAGTCCACAGGGAGGGACTGGCCCCCCGGCGGGTGGATTTCTGAACCCAGAATATGGGATCCTCAGAGCCCCGTAGCCCCAGCTTTGGTGCCTCGGCTGGAACGGAGGGAAAATCGTACTTGGCCTCTTGTTTCCATCCACTGGCGCTCACTCACTCCGGCGTGCCTGACCCCGCCTTCTTGAGCTGTTCTACCCAGTGGTGTTGCGGTGGGGTGCGGTCAGCGTATGCAGAGGGAAGGGCACCCCAGGCCCCCAAGCCTGGCTCTGCCACGTATTAACTGACGGATAATAATACCCCCTCAGAGATGCGATGTGAGGATGAAATGAATAAATACTTGTGAAGAGTTTAAAACGATGCCTGGCACAAAGTGAGTGAACTCTAAAAGTTTGCTGTTAATCTCGTCACGTTGAATAAGCCACCTCTCCTCTCTGAGCCTCAGCTCCTGGCCTGTAGAATGAGGCTCTAACACGCCACGGTGGGATTCGAGGATTAGCTGAGAGGCAGCGCCCGAGCCCAGTAAACGCCAGTTCCCTTCTACCTGCCTCGGCTTCTGCTATCGTCAGTTTAGCAAGCCCGGCCTCGGAGCAATAGGGCTTGTCTGGATGAGCGGGAGCTGCTGTCCCTGGAAGGCACTGTGCTGGGCAGGCCGAAGCAACATCGGCAGCAGAAGGACCACGATCCACCTTTGCCTGACTGGAAGCAACAGGACAAAAGCGTTACGGCGCCTGAGTGCCTTCCGTCCACCGGGATGAATCCTGGGCAGCGACGCACAAGGCTTGGGGTCCATGGACTGTTGTACAATATTTGGCAGGAGCCTGAGGCCTCCCTTGGCCGCTCTGTGTATTGAGAGAGGCAGGTGACGTGAGCCTCCATCTGATTCTGGCCGGTCACTCCCCCTCGACCCCATCCAGTGCCCATTCTCCCTCTCTCTCATTCTAATGCTCTCTCATCAACCTTTCATCTTGATTATAGTGTTTTTTTTGGGGGGGGGGGTTGGGGTTTCTTCTTGCTCATGGCACCAGATTTTGTTATTCTCTGGCCCAGCATATTCATTCCTCCCAGAGGCACTCCTCTGCTCTGCCTGGAGAATGATGATGAAGTGACATCTCCATGGAAACAGATGTGGATCCCACAGTTGCTTAGCGGATGTGCTGCAGGATGATGTAAGCCATGCTGTGGTTTCCCGAGGGGCTCAGTACCCTTTGATGTGTCTGTACTAATGGGGCTGGGGTTTCTTCCCTTGCTTCTACCCTTTTTATGTAAAAGTAAAAAGCAAAAAGAATGGGAAATGTACCTTCTTTGGGAGGAATGCTTTTGTAAGGAGAGCAAAGTGTTGGGAGTCAGAACTGGGTGTGAATCAGAGGTAAGATGATGAAGGTGACAGGTTGCTATGGAGAAACAGGCTGGGGGAACCTTGGAAACTGTCCAGAAGGGGATGCTGCTGGCTAAGGAATACTGAACTTTTCCACTCCACTGTAAGGTGCTATAGACCTTTCACCTTGGACAGCCACTGCTCCCACCAGAGCAGCCCTGCTATTTGCCTCGGGCAAGAGCACAAATAGAGGCCACACACCATGCTTCTAAATACTTAAAATTATAAACCAAGTCAACAGATTGTTAAATAAAATATATTCTATCCTCTGACGTTGGCAACTGTACTAGCAGAATAATGCCCACCCCAAAGATGTCCATATCCTTGTCCCCAAAACCTGTAAATATGTAATGTGGCATTAAGGTTGTAGACAGAATTAAAGTTGCCAATAACCTGACTTTATGATTATACATTATATCCTGGATTATCTGTGCGGGTCTAATGTAATCCCCAGGGTCCTTAAAAATGAAAGAGGGGGCAGAAGAGAAGGTCAGGGTGATGAGGTGTGAGAATACTCTACCAGCCGTTATTGGCTTTGGAGATGGAAGAGGCCACAGGCCAAGGAATGCTGGTGGCCTCTAGAAGCTGGAAAAGGCAAGGAAACAGATTTTCCCTTAGAGCTTCCAGAAAAGAATGCAGTCCTGTTGACACTCAGTGAGACTTCTGACCAACGCACGAACTCTAAGATAATAGATCTGTGTGGATTTAAACCACTAAGGTTGTGGTAACTTGCTATAGCAGCAACAGGAAACTAATATAATAGTCGTGCCATGATGGCCGTGGGGAGGGGCACAGACAGAGGAGGGCCATAGGGGGTCCTGCTAACTGGTATGGCCGGGAGAGGGGCCTTCTCGCCTGCATCTAAGGGCAGAACTGGTACTATCATAGGAGAAAAAAGAAAATCATTTCCTCCCGTTTCCCTTCTTCAGTAGCCCTTTCAAACCAAGACAAAACAAAGAAAAAGCCCAAACAAACCAAACTAGCCAAAACCTTCACCATAAAGCCAAAGCCAGTTCTCCACTTGGCAGGAGGGAGGAGAGCAGCTCCTCTGTGTTAGAAAAGATGGTGAGGCCTCAGGCCCTATTGGATGCCCTTGCTTATCTGACTTCACCATGAACTAGCCCCAACCTGGTTGTGCCTCAGGGTTTTCCCCTGCGAGATGGGACTCAGAAAGTACACCCAGTCAGGATGACTTCGCCTTTCTTTCCCCTCACCTCTCTTGCAGTTTAGTAAATTGTCTTGCTTAGCTCTGAGGGGTGTGTTCTGAGCAGTCAAGAATAGCAAAGGAATTGGTGGTAAACGTTCTCTCCTCTCTCTGCGGATGTCCCATGTCCTGCAGGTCCAGGGTGCATCCCACCTCCTCCAGGAAGCCCTCCCTGACCTCTGCCATCCATGCTCATCTGCAGCACTTTCTGGCTGCAGCCCTTTCACAGCCTTGTTTTCTTCTCTGTGAATAGTGACACATTCTGCATATTTAGTATAAACGCATCTGTTCGATGACTGTTTCACGCCTCTAATCCCAAACAGGTGAAGCACAACGCTAGGCACATTGCAGACCTCGCCAAATCACTGTCAGTCAGTTGATTATCAGTTAAAGTATTCAAGGCACAGAACACCTGGTTACAAATTCAAATCAAAGCCTGAAATAATTTGTAACGTGTAGGTTTACCTGCTCTGCTGAGAGCCATGGCTTATTTGACTGCTTGCTTTTATAGCCTCCCGGACTCCTTCCCTGGGTCTCCTTGAACATCTCCACGTAGACTCATCCTTGCTGCAGTCCCTGGGTGGACGCTTTCCTAAGATGGGGAGAATTGAAAGTTCAGTGGCTTGGGGGATTGTCCTGGAGCCAGCCTGGCTAGTCCTTCTCTGGCCTTGATCTCAGGTCTACTAACAGGCTTTATTCTGAAGGCCACATCCTGCCTCCGGCTCCTGTTCTAGTTGCCTCTGGACACCCGGGGCCTCGACACCTGCCCGGCCCACATTCTGTTTCCTCTACGACTCACCCTGGATGGAGTCTGGGGTCCTGCTCCTGAGGCCCTGTGCCCCCTGTGTGACCTTCACGCGTCTCCTGCCGTAGGAATACCTACTGACATGCCTGCCAGGACGCCCACTCCGCACCTCTAGCCAGCTGCCCTGTCATAGCCACCTGCCTGTCCCATCTCCTCTGTACACACTGTGGCTTCCAAACAGGATTGACTACCCTCCTGCCTGCTCTAGGTCTGCCCCCTCAAACCTCACCTTACCTGGTGCCGGTATAGCCTTCAGGTACAGTCTCTTCCTTGCTTAGCTCTGGCTTACATCTTTATTCATTTATTCATCCACGTAGCCACTCACTCATCCAGCAAATATGTGCTGAAACCCCGCTCCGTGGCAGGCAGTGTGCTGGAGGTTGGACTCTGTGCTCCAAAAACTCACCAGCCTCTGAGCCCGAGGCTTCACACAATGCCCCTCCCCGAGGCTCCACGTGGGGAAATTCCCTTGAATGATGGGTCTGATTGTGGCCACCTGTAGTGCTGTTAATAACAATTAAATTGATAACACAAGGCAGAACAAGAGAGATTAGATTACACTTCTAATCCTGATAGAATTGTTTGGTATAGTAAGAACTCACAGTAATAAACAAACTAAGCTGTAGGAGCTACAGTTAATTTTTAGTTATTTAATCTAACATGTGCCACAAGTCTTTCAAGAAGTCCTGGTTGAGACCTCTTTACATCCAGGAGTCCAAGAGGAATTGTCTTTAGTTAGTTCTAGTTCAAGATAACCTGGTGATCCGTGTGAGTGACAGTGAGACAGCTGGGCCCATTTCATAGTGGACACAGTGCTAAGACATTATTGTTCCTCCACCATGAAGTCAAACTAGAAATCTGAGCATTAAACATTTTAATACTAAAAGCGTGGCACTAATTACACACTGAAAATTTCATATTTCTTTTTGCATCCTGAAGGGTATCGATAAGGGCAATATTGGGCTTCAGCTCAATGTTTAACACTTGGCCATCTACCTCTGGCCAAGATGAGTATTTGCCACAGCTCTAAAAGGATTCCACTGAAGCTTTTATATTTCTTTCCTCCAGATATTTTATCCCAGTTAAAAATAGCATCTCACGCCAGAGCTGAAAACAGGTTTCTCCTCTCTTCCCTTCCTCACTCACTCTGGTTCTCAGCCTCCTCCTGAATCATGGCTGTGGAGCTAGTTCACTGAGATGTCCTGGAGATGCAAGGCAAGAAATCCCACATTGCCTCTGGGGAAACAGTGTCAGCGGTGCCTGTCCCACTGGTGTCGAACCAGCCCAAGTCAGGTGCTTTTAAACCAGATGGTGCTGCCTCTTTCCCCCTCCCAGCCTTCTTCCGGCGAAGAGGAAGGACCCCAGGTTTTGTCCTGGTTGCAGGAAGCCTGGAGTCGCTCTCCGGTCGCTATTTAGCCACCCAGAGCAGATCCGGAGCCCCGCACTGCACTCCACGCTCTGGGTGGAGTCTGAATTGTCGTGGAACGGTCCATATCGTGTCTGAAAGGAGGCAGAAGAGTGGGCAGCAACAACACCCCACGCTGATGGCAAACACCTGCAGCTTTAAGCGCTCAGCATCCCCACAGAATCACAGTGAACAGGTGGTCCATATTTTCAAGTCAGCCTGGCTTTCAAACGTCCGGTCACTTGCCTGATGAGTTCACGGCATCCCTGTGAGCCAGACCCCTTTTACATCCGGGGACCAGAAAAAGTCACAACAGCCAGCAGAGTCACCTTACTGGCTGAGTAAGGACACAGGTCCCTGAGCTAGCTGGAACTGTAATGCCATCAATGACATTCTCTCTACCCTGGGAACCTCCTACAGGAACGTGTACGTTACCCCTGTGGCCACACGCATATTCCCTGCCTTCACTATAACTTCCATCTTGTCCCATTTTTTTGTTTGTTTGTTTGTGGTACGCAGGCCTCTTACTGTTGTGGCGTCTCCCATTGCGGAGCACAGGCTCCGGACGCGCAGGCTCAGTGGCCATGGCTCACGGGCCCAGCTGCTCCGTGGCACGTGGGATCTTCCCGGACCGGGGCACGAACCTGCGTCCCCTGCATCGGCAGGCGGATTCTCAACCACTGCGCCACCAGGGAAGCCCCCCATCTTGTCCCATTTTTGAGAGCAGTTTGCTGTGTTTGTCTGCCCAATGGGCTGCCTTTGTTATAGGTTATAAGCAGTTTCTTTCCAAAGTTTCAAAGCTTCCTTTTTCCTTTGGGATTACATTTTATATTTTCCATGCAATTTGCCTTTCTGGGGGAATGTTCTTGAGGGTGAGTAACTTTGGTTTGCCCAGATGGTCTTCCTT